CATCCATCCATCCATCCATCCATCCATCCATCCATCCATCCATCCATCCAACAATTGTAGAGGGCATTGTGCCAGCAACAGCACCTGCTAAGAACCAGGGAAGCAGCCCTGAAAGGGGGTGGGATGGAGGCGGGAGTCGGAATATTATCCTGTTAACTGTTCACATAGATAACCACTTGCCCTGGCCATATATCAGAAATGATTTCAAAGAATGCTTGCCGGATTAGTGATGGCACACTCTTTCTTGGCTTGCATGCAAAGGGAAACAGCCAGATTTTCCTGAGTAGCTTCAGGAGTAAAACACTTAATGCAAACTTTATTTTCCCTAAAATTAGTAAACACAAGGAAGCAAACCTCTTTGAAATTGCATTTGTAAGCCTCGTTTCCTAATTCATGCTTTTATGTATTTTCTCTAATCATTTACTGAGCACCTGCACACACAATGCACTCTGCACAAGTTACAAAATAGGAGAAAACCAAATATGGAAGAGAAAGTGGGGGAAAACATGCAAACTAAATACATCAGAAAGTAAAACACATAAGAACATGGCTATGATCCTTACTCTAAAATAAAACGGCTAGCCATTCTGGAAAACAACTTACTCTGCGGCTGCCTCTCTGACAGTAAAAATGTGGGTCTTGCAATCCACGTTAAGTAAAATTCTGTGGGAATGGACATAGTATACGTCACCCTGTCTGCATTTACACTAGTTCCCTGAACCGAATGTTTTTTCTGCTTTACTCTGGATTAAAGGATTGGACATAATGGCTCTGAAAAAGCTGGCTGACTGAGTCAGCACCCTGTGTGCACCGTAAACCCCCTCCTTCTGTTAAGTGACTAATCCGGATCTGCATTTGCTCCTCAGCACACAGCTCATTGCCACAGCAGAGTCCAACGCAGGTACTGTGTCACAAGGGCATGACAGAAAATCAGACATGGGTCACAGAATTCATTCTCCTGGGATTTCCGCTCAGCCTAAGCATTCAGATGCTCCTCTCTGGGCTCTTCTCCCTGTTCTACATCTTCACCCTGTTGGGAAACGGGGCCGTCCTGGGGCTCATCTGGCTGGACTCCAGACTGCACACCCCCATGCACTTCTTCCTCTCACACCTGGCCATCGTTGATATTTCGTATGCTTCCAACAATGTCCCCAAGATGATGACAAATCTTCTGAACAAGAGAAAAACAGTCTCCTTTGTCCCATGCATAACGCAGACCTTTTTATACATGGCTTTTGCTCACACCGAGTGTCTCATCTTGGTAATGATGTCCTGTGATCGGTACGTGGCTATCTGCCACCCTCTGAAATATTCTGTCATGAAATGGAGAGTGTGCACAGTCCTGGCTGTCACTTCCTGGGCATGTGGCTCCCTCCTGGCCCTGGTCCATGTGGTTCTCATCCTGAGGCTGCCCTTCTGCGGGCCTCATGAAATCAACCACTTCTTCTGTGAAATCCTGTCTGTCCTCAGGCTGGCCTGTGCTGTTACCTGGCTCAACCAGGTGGTCATCTTTTCTGCTTCCATGTTCATCCTGGTGGGGCCACTCTGCCTGGTGCTGGTCTCCTACTGCCGCATCCTGGCAGCCATGCTGAGGATCTAGTCTGGGGAGGGCCGCAGAAAGGCCTTCCTCACCTGCTCCTCCCACCTCTGCATGTGAGGCTCTTCTTTGGCAGCGCCATTGTCATGTACATGGCCCCCAAGTCCCGCCATCCTGAGGAGCAGCAGAAGGTCCTTTCCCTGTTTTACAGCCTTTTCAACCCGATGCTGAACCCTCTGATCTACAGCCTGAGGAACGCAGAGGTCAAGGGTGCCCTGAAAAGAGTGTTGTGGAAACAGAGATCAAGGTGAGGGATGCCAGGGAAAGTCTAGAGGGTTGAAGATTTGCTCCCGGTGAAATTTGTAGGAACAGGTGATATAAATGCCTTACAGTTTCATCTCTTAGGTTTCTGATATCAAGAATGTGTATTGATTGGATTCTATTCCTAAACGTGGTGTACCGTGCAGATCACAAAGCACACCCAGAAAGGCGCTGAGCTGTGTGGTGCGGCAGAGGAGCAAAGTGCCATGAACTCCTACTGCCAGCTCCCAACCCTACAGGATCTGCTTTCTGTTCTTTTGAGGATTAGTTCTCTCAAATTTCCTCTTAAATTCCTCTATTATTTCCATCTATTTTTGCCATAAGTATATGCTGATAATCCCATACCACATGCTGCTATAAGAGTGTACTTGTAACCACACAGAATAAATACTGACCTTGGTTAAGCAGCCCTCTACTGGGAATGTAACAGCAACTAAGAGTAGAGCCAGTGCCTGGTCTGGAACCTAAAGCCTAAGGATGATGACATTATTACTGGAAGTTCATCTAAATCACCCTCACGAATCTAATTCTGTAAAAAGCAAAGTTTCATTGTATAGATTTTTTATATAAAAGGCGGAGAAATAGCAGGATCTTTGTTTCATTTCAGTTAATTCTGCACCATCTAATTAGAAAGAGTTTGGAAATATTTTGCATTTAAAATAAATGAGACAAAGTTATTAGGGATAGTTAACCTTTTTCAGAATTGAGATCGCAAAGCTGGTTGTAGGTGACACTTGTATCATTACGGTGATTACATAAAATATTGTAGGAGTAAGAAAATACTGCAAAGGAAGAAAGCATCAAGAGAAACTGACAGCTGGATGTAACATCACAGACCACCGCTTAGAACCAAGAACATGACAAGTCTTGATAGGGACTTTTAGGAACCTCAACAAAATTCCAAAGAGAAGCTACTCCACGTGATATAAATCACTGTTCCTGGACCCAAGTGGTCAGAATGACGTGGACAAGTAATTTGTTTTATTTTAACACAAATCTGAGTCCTAAATGATCAGCATAATATGATAATATGATTTCTTTAACACATTGAGTATGGTACCTTTGGGAATTCTCTCTTTTTTTCCTTCAACCCTTGTAGTATTGTGTGCATTCAACTGTATGATCCATGATGTTATTACATTATCTGCTGCCTGTAGATTTTCTATTTTTACAATTTTAAACATGTATTCTTATCACTTCAAATATTTCTTCTTCCATGAAAGAAAGAAGCAAAGGGAGAACTCTTTCCTCCCACCCTCTCTCCAAATGCACTGTGTTCTTTCCAGTTCTCAAAAAGCCTAGTTGCTTACTATTCTGCTCATCCATTCATCTCAGTTAAACATTCTGCCTCTGGTGATGGTCTTTGTTTTCACATCTCCATACTGTGAGGACATGTTTTGGCCTGCAGAAATTCACAAACCTTGCTCTGCCCCTCCCAAAGAGAGCAATTTGAATTAAAAAAAATAAATACTGGATCTAAATTTAACTGGCAACCACTATGGCATTATTGTGTGCACTATTCTAAAGCTAGAAAGAGAAAACAGGCAATATTTTCATATAAAAAGGACTTTCTCACTATATCTGAAAAAATTATTACATTCCCTAAAATATATATACTTCATATTCTGCTTAAAACTTTGAAAAGAAAAGGGAAAGAGGAAACATATAGTTCATCTCATATAAAACATAAGCAATAGATTTGGATTCAGAATTTTTTACGTAGGGTACAGCAGAAAAATCGGGATAGAATTCATCCTATGTCAGTTCTAAATGATTGGGAAAGAATAGACCAAAAAGACCACATTTCTACAGAAAGTGACAAATGTAGATAAATTATAAAGAGATGTTCTCTAGCAGGTCCGAATAGTGGCTCTAATAATATATACATATTATATATATTTAATACATTATAGAAAATACCTGAGCATATGAAAAATTTCTATTAATTGTTTCCATATTTGAGTTCTAGGATTTTAACAAACTAATTACATGTTGGTGTTATGACCGCTTTACATATATATTTTTTCAACATGAATCAGTTTTTAAAGGGCTGGGGGGAACCAAAAGAAACAGGCATTGCTTTAGGCTGCAAGTTCTACTGACTGCGTCACAAATGTTACCCCATTTATCTTGCACAAACGTCACAATGGAGTCGCTATTATTTTCCCCATCGAATAGATAAGCGAACAAAGTTCAGAATGATTTAATAACTTATCCTATACTACACAGCCAGTAATAGAACTGAGTGTTATGGATTGCACTGATTGCAAACCCAAACTGCTTCTTATCAGCTTTCTGCCCAAAACATTACAAATGTTAGCTCAACAGGGGTTAGACTCAACATCCACATGATGGGGCAGGATCTGGAACAAAACAGAGTTTACAGTATTAACACCAGAAAGAATACATCCTGTAGCCAACCCATCTCTGGAGGATTCATGATCACCTTTGGGAAGAGTAGAAACTCTCACATTAGTGGCATCATCATTTTCCAATAGTAACTCCCTCCTAATGCCTGCCTGCAAAATCACATGGCTGCATAAGGCATTGCCCCAAAGGGACAATCTGAATGAGAGACACCCTGCTGTTCTCAGTGTCTCGTGTTACCTGTGATTCTGGTCTTCGTTCTATCATCAAGTGTACCCACCTGTGTTCTTTCCCTTTATGATGTGATGAATGCTTTTCCAGGACGTGTCCCCATCTCTCCTGTGTACAGATCCGTGATGGACCTACCTTGCCAGTGCTCTAGGCTGCTAGGACTGAGAAAGGGGGAACCCAGCACAGTTGTAAGCTGAGACGCTTGCTGTGTTAGATTCACATCTCAATTGTGCTACAACCTGCTAAATAGGTCTGCTTCTAGGAATAATATAGCCTCCTCAATCCTGAGTTTTATTTTAGGTCAGATGTGGCTAACAAGGTTTCAGCTAGGTGCCTTAGATAACTTTTATGAATGCTAAATGAAGGAATTTATATGACTCTGATTCGAAGCGATGTATTTTTGTGAGAAGGATATAAGGACAATGAAAATGAAAAGTGATTACATAGTAAGACCAAGAGCTGGTAAAATTCATGACTAAACAACTATAAAACTACAAAATCCAATTTTATTTTAATGATTCATAAATTATTATTATATTTACTGAACAATGGAAGTTTCTCAAAAAATCTCAGCTATTTGTGTTTGCAAGTTTCTGTGCCTGTCTTTGTTTTTATTTGGTTAGTGATTTTTGGGGAAGGTCTCCACCAAAGGAGGGTAAAGGTTGGTGCACAAGAGATTGGGTATGAAATGGTTTTTATCGTTCCTGCTAGTAGACAAAACTGTAAGAAGAATCCTACATAAAATGTTACATCTATTATGTATCTATTAAAAATTGTTAAAAATAAATTTGCAAAAAATAGAAAAAAATATACAAATAAATAATATAAATACACATTTATAGTAGAAGGGTATAGTCTAAGAAGGGTGACAAGTAACTACATTCTGATTGTAAGACAACACAGAGTAGACCCTCTAAGGGTACAAAAGTCAAAACACAAAGATCTCTGTTTAAATCCAGCCAAAGTTGGGGCAAACTGCCATTCTTTCAACTTAATTCAAGATTATGCGATCAGTAAAAATCACAAGTTTAACAAATAATTCATACAAAAAAGGCACAAATTGGTGAGAAGACCTGATAGCAGGATCATTGACGTGTTTGTCATCCCTCTTTCTATCCTTATATATAGACATAGACACTAGCACACTTCCACACGCATGGATATAAGCACCCTGCAATGAAGGAATACAGAGGGCAAGCATCTGGTGTAATCATTACAAACTGAGGAAAGAGTCCATGCTATGAAGGCAATTTAAGTATTAACGTATTTTGAACTGTGATGAAAGTATATTTGAAAATAAGATGTAATGAATACTATAACATCATACTGACATTGAATTTATCATAGGTGAAAAAATTTCCTTGTGTTTCCTTTGTAATGCATAATTTTCTCTTAGTAAGTGACTAAGATCAAAATATAATTGGAGGTGTTTTCTCAGGAAACACTCAAACAATAATACGTACAGTTGCAGCATGCTTAAACATTTGCATCAGACATTCAGACTTGGTGAGCTCCTTGTTTCTTCTACAGGGAAATGGGAGGAAATCAGACTTCCATCACAGAATTCCTTTTACTGGGATTTCCTGTTGGTCCAAGGATTCAGATGCTCCTCTTTGGGCTCTTCTCCCTGTTCTACATCTTCACCCTGCTGGGGAACGGGACCATCCTGGGGCTCATTTCACTGGACTCCAGACTCCACACCCCCATGTACTTCTTCCTGTCACACCTGGCGGTCGTCAACATCGCCTACGCTTGCAACACAGTGCCCCAGATTCTGGTGAACCTCCTGCATCCAGCCAAGCCCATCTCCTTTGCTGGCTGCATGACCCAGATGTTTCTGTTTTTGAGTTTTGCACATACCGAATGTCTCCTGCTGGTGCTGATGTCCTACGATCGGTATGTGGCCATCTGCCACCCTCTCCGATATTCTACCATCATGACCTGGAGAGTCTGCATCACTCTGGCATTGACTTCCTGGACTTTAGGAGTCTTACTGGCCCTTGTCCATCTAATGTTACTGCTACCACTGTCCTTCTGTGGACCCCAGAAAGTTAACCACTTTTTCTGTGAAATTACGGCTGTTCTCAAACTTGCCTGTGTGGATACCCACATTAATGAGGTAATGGTTTTGGCAGGGGCACTGTCTGTGCTGGTGGGACCCTTCTTTTCTATTGTAATATCTTATGTTCATATTCTGTGTGCCATTCTAAAGATCCAGTCAGGGGAGGGGCGCCAGAAAGCCTTCTCCATCTGCTCCTCCCACCTCTGTGTGGTTGGACTCTTTTATGGCACAGCCGTCATCATGTATGTTGAGCCCCAATATGAGAGCCCCAAGGAGCAGAAGAAATATCTCCTGCTGTTTCACAGCCTCTTCAATCCCATGCTCAATCCC